GCCATCCCCTCCCATGGGGAGCAGCCCCGGGTCCTGCTGCTGCTGGGAGCACCCAGCTCCTGGAGAGGGGCCACGTTATTTAAAACCGCAGCCATTAATTCGGGGCAGTCAGGATAATTGCAGGGCTGAATTTAAAGCCAAGCTTTATGTGTTGCACCTGCAAATGCTGTCGGATGCAAGTAGGCACAGTTTTACCCCTTTTCCTGCTGTGGAAAGAGCCGAGGTGTCATCTGCTGTTGTCGGTGACGGCTTTGGTCCAGGTGGTATTTGGAAAAATCCTTCCACTTAATTTAGTGGTTTCCTGAGATTTCACATGAGACTAACGTTTAGGCATTTATTGCCTGGTGTTCCAATATTATTCTCCGTTAATCCCTGTGAAGCAGGCAGGTTTTCAGGAAGCAGCCGAAAAGGCAAGGTTGCTCAGTCTGAAACCCATAGTTTTTTAAATCAAAAAGAATCACAACCTGTTCCTGCAGCTCTCCTATGGAAACTTGAGCCTCGGTTGTTGGGGCTGGGATGCTGCTCCACCCTTCCCTGTGTTTGTTGATGGGGAAAGAGGGACGCCAAAGGGTTTTATAGATTAGGATGAAAAGATTGCACTTGCATTTGAAGGGAGCCTAAGTAAAAAAAAAAAGGGGGGGGGGGAAATGATGAAAAATAATTTTTAAAATACCTTGGAAAGTAACAGGTTTTCAAGGCAGGGAGATAAAAGAGAAAAAGCAGCCCCTTTCATCCAAGATCTTCTGACTCTGGACCAGCCAAGGATGCAGGAAGATGTTTTTTCACTTTTCATGCATTTACCTGTCTTAAAATTTTTCAATATTACAGTTATTATTTTCATTATTATGGTTGGACTTGATGATCTTAAAGGTCTTTTCCAACATAAACGATTCTATGATTCTATGATTATCCCCAGACCCCGCTTTGCGTCCCCCTCCAGGACCAAGCAAGTCAGGAGATAAGGGCATGGAACGACCCAAGGAGGCTTTATTTTCAGTTGCAAAGTTACGTTAAACCAATAAAATTGGTCCTGGGAGCTGCTTTTGCAGGGATGGCAGAGCTGAGGTCTGCGCTCACTCCCGAAGGAAAACGAGAACCCTGTGTCCTGTCAGGTCTGGCAGAGGCACACATGGGATGCGGCCAGCGCTCATGGGACAGCCCTGCCTGGCAATTAAGCCCTCGGCTTTTTTATTTGGTAAATTTTAATTAAATGAGAAATGATTACGCACAGTGGGAGAAGCGTCCTGCCTGCATCCTCCTGTGTGTGCCGCCTTTCCCTGTGCATCTGCACACCCACGTTATGGATGTGCCTCTCCCCTGGTCTCCCACGCTGTATTTTTTCCAAGACCTTTCTAACCTAAGCAGCCTTTTCTTTGGTGCTGCTGCCATATTAAACTAAGATTTCTGTGCTTGATTCGGACCATCCAGGCCCCTGCTGCGGTCGCCCTGCCTCACTGCTGACGAGGGTGTGGATGAAGCCTACTTTGGAGAGGAGGCCCTCAGGTTTGAGCAGCTGGAAGAAGCGGAGATCAGTGACCTGGAAGGTGCTTTTGTGCAGGTACAGCCTCGCTTCTTGCTTGGGCTCAGGTCTGCAATGAGCCCAGACTGCCTGGCAGCTCAGAGCTTGCCCAGGGGGACGCAGTGCCCTGGTGAGGGGCAGGGACCAGGATGGGTGCTGGGGACGTTTCCCACGGAGATGTCCCCATCTTGGAACCTGAGGCAGCAGCAGGAGGCGTGCGCCGAGGGGGGGACGCTTCCGCCCTAAAACGCTGGCACTGCACAACCTGAGAGTCTGGTGAACGGTCGGGGGACACAGACACCCATATCGAGCTGCAAAATCTGCTCCTTTCCTGACAGAGCAGGCCTTTTTCTCCCTAAATTGGCTTTTTTTCGTTTTGAAGGTGGAAGAGGAGACAGCTGAAGCTGCTGAAACCGATACCGAAGGTATAACACACAGCAGCGCACTGGCACCTTAAGATGAAGCGAAGCGGGCAGCGCGGTGCCTGGCGAGGGGCAGACACAGCTCCTCCCCCCGGCTCCTCGCTGCCTGGAGCGGGCAGCTGAGATTTCTGCAGCATGGGGGCTTTTCCCTGGCTTAAGGAATCTCGTGGGCGCAGGGCGGTGGCAATATTGTTGTCAGCTGGAGCCGGCTCTGGCAGGCGCATGCTTATGCAGTACTTGGTCGCGTTGATCAAGCAACCTCTGGTGTGCAAGACGAGTTTCTCCTTCAGCTGAAGAATGCGGGGGGTGGGGGTGGTGAAAAGGGTTTTCTAAAGGGCTTTACTAATTTGGAAAATAACCAGTGGCATAGAGAGCATTTTAATACAGCATTTTAGGAGGTACCAGGTTGGAAATGGAACTTGGGTGGTGAGCTGCCCTAGTAGCCTGAGTGAGCAAAGGCAGGTCCCGGCACAACTCCAGCGGTGTCGGGGGGGCTGTCCAGGGGACGCCTTGCCCTGAACCCTGGCACAGGCTGGGGGTTTCTCCATTCGTGCAGCCCTTGCAGGGCGCCCCGGTCTTGCAGCGACGCTAGAAAAGCCTGTGGCAGGATGCTCACCACCGCCCTCCGGCGCTCCCAACCTCCACGAGCCAGGGAGCCAGGGGTGGCCATGGAAACGCCAGGAGCCCTGCGTTTCTCTTGCTGACCTGACCGTCCCATCTCAAACCACTCTGTGTTTTGTTGCAGCTTCAGATGCCTTGTCCTTTGCTTGAAGCACCCAGGCGCCTAGCGGCATGTCCAAGCCTGCCCGAGACGTCGAGCTAGATTGGCTGATGCATGACGAGCCGCTCGGCGGCGGGGACGCCTCCCCTCCCGGCTGCAGCACACTAGAGCAGCTCCCCAATGTCCCCAGCTACCGAGCCGCCGCTGACACCTGCACCCCCCACCTTGTCGCCAGCAAGCGAAAGGCTGGAGTTTTCAACCCCAGTTTTTGCAATGAGGAGCAGTCCCCACTAGGTATTAGAGACGTTGGCTTTGACAATAGATTTGTGTAGCTCGGGGGGGGGCAAGGGGCTACTCCTGGAGTAGTTGCTTTTTGTTGCTCTTTCAGGGGAAAAAACAAATAAATGCACACTTTGTGTTGCAGCACAGAGGCTGGGGAACAAAATGCATGGGTTTTCTTCTTCTGCCTCATCACTAAGTGCCTTGCTAGCTAACCCCATGGGAGCATTTGTGTGTCTCCGTAAATGATACGCTGTATGTTTGACCTCGCTTGGCCAAAAGCTCTCCCAAAGGCCTTGCAGGCAGGGGGTTAAATATCTGCTGCACGCTCAGTTTTCACCTTGGCATTCTTGCAACCCATTCGTGTGAGAGGGCGGCGAGATGGGGGTTTGCTCTTTGCCCATCTCTGCCTTTTAACCCAGAAGTGCAAATTGTGTCTCTGCAGTTTTGCTTTGCTCTGTTTTTCACCAGCAAGCCAAATGCTTCTGCTCTTCCTTATGCACAGAGGGATTTTAACTTTGCAGCCCAAACGGGCCCTTTCTCCATGATCTGGCCAAGCTACACTCTGATCCGCCGCTCCCACAGCAGTGCAGGAAACGAGGGGATGGATGCACAGGGTCTTTCAGCCATGGGACACACACACACACACCCCCTTAGAAGAAATCCTGCAGGAACTCCTTGCATTTTTTTATACAGCTAAGGAAAGGGGTGACGCTTTGCAGCCTGGCCAGCAGCGGGCTCTAGCCAAAATCACCCCAGCGCCGTTTCCCCCTTGGGCCACTGGTGTCTCTCGTGACCGGCTGTAAACCTCCAACCTTCCTGCTTCCAACCCTGCTTCTGGCAGGGAGCGTTTATTACCTCTGCAGAAGGGAGAGGTTGTTAAGTTTGTATTTAAATAGCACCTTATTCTGCACGAAAAGCAATCACTTGGGTGATTTGGAGCTTGCATGATCCATGTGTTTATGTTCAGAAGGCCCAGGAGGTTTCTAGACCCTGGGAGGCAGGTTTGCCACTGGAAACCCTGGGTTCAGGCGTAACGCCTGCAGCTGGTAATCCTCGTCACCATCATTTTCCAAACCACTGGAACCCAGTGCTTGCACGGAGCTGTTGCAATCGCTGCAAGCAGAAGGGAAGCAGAAGGGAAGCAGGTGGCCCTACAGCGTTAAATACTGGGCAAAAAAGAGAAGGAAAGGCTGCAAACCGTTAGGAGGAAGAAGTGCCAGGCAAGAAGGGAGCAGAGGGAAAAGGAGCATCCTTGTGGCACGCTGTGGGGCTTGGGGCAGCTCCACGGGGGCAAGGGGAAGTGGGGCTTCATCCTGGCTGTGGGCTTGGCCCCATGCCCCACTCACCTGCAATTATTGTCCTTCTCCACGGCCAGGCACTTACCCAGCTGCGGACTTAGAGGATGTGGACGGCAGAGGCAAAGCCCCGGAGCCCGATGGTACCCGCTTACCAGTGCCCACCGCCAGTGCTTCCCATAGGCTGGCGGTGCCTGGCGCAGTGCCGGCATCCCCCAGGTACGGCTCTGCCCAGGCGCGGTCCCTGCCTCCTGGGGTCCCACCCCCCGATGGTGCCAGTACAGGAAAATTTATTCAACCCTATGGAGCAAGCCATTTGGGGTGGGCCTGGGCAGCAAGCCGGGGTGACATGTGTGCGGCGGGTGACACCCCGGGCAAGGCAGGAGAGGTGGTGAAAGCATTTTCTAATTAAAGGGTTGAATTTTGTTTAAAACCCTGTCTGCCTGTCCCCCTGGAGATGGGCTCCATCCCCCGGCTGTGGGTCAGATCCCATTCATCTGTCGTCGCAAAAGTCCGTGCTCCCAAACCAGGAGCACGAGGGGTCCGTGTGCTGGGTAACCAGCCTTCGGCATAAATCCCAACAATTTCCTTCTTGCGTGTTTGCCAGAAGGGTTTGCAGCATCTCCCCCCCCCTGTTTGCAGTTTTGGATTAGTGATGCTCAGAGAGGGGGAACATTAAACTGAGCTTTAAAATGGAGGTTGGAGGAAGCCAATGGCTTTTTTGGTTATTGCTGGGGTTTTTCTGAGGCTTGTTCTAGCAGAGGATTAAAAGTAAAAACCAAGGTGGGGGGTGGGTTTCTGTGCTGAGAAATGGGTGCTGTATTCATCCTCAATATTTTGGATCTTTTAGTAAACAAGCCCTGGAGGACTTGAAAGTAAAATGGCAAAAATGCCCATGATTCAGTCTGTTGAACAGCTTTTTAAACTGGGAAAGCAGAGCTCAAGGAGCCACGTGAAATTCCTGCAGCGCAAATACCGACAGTGTTCGTTAAGAGGCTGGCTTGCTGAATCCCGCTGCCTTTTTTATATTAGCCCGGCAATGAAAATTGCCCTGTGACAACCGTGTCATC